AAAAAAAAAAAAAGCTATCAAATGCTAAGGTTAAGGACAAAGAAAGGTTTAATACTGTATCAAAACCAAAGTAACCAGTATGAAATCAAAGTAATCAGTAGTAAGTATGAAGAGGTATATCAAAGCCAAAGCAAATTCTAGCCCAAGTATAAGGTTTAGGTAAGTCTGTTTAAAAGTGTATGTAAAGTACATATAAGTATATTGATATTCTACCTTTCAAAAGAAATAGTGTAGTGCCTTATTCTGATATGAAGGTGTCTTCTACTCTATCATAACCAAACAATTATTTGAGTTAAATATTTCTGCATCTGCCAGACAGGATAGCATACTCTTAACCAGCAGCACTGATCACAGAGCATTATGAAACATTAATGTTGTTTTTTAATAAATTTGTTAATATGTTCAGAAGCATGGAGAAATTTCAAAGAATGGAATAAAATCTTAAATTTTTTCAATATTTTAAAAGGAGTAAACAGGATGAGAGGGTAACAGTAGGCTATTTCACCAGATGTCAATCCCAGCCAACAGCAGAGAAGGGCACTGTAGAATGTAAGGAGTAAGGAGTTTAAAGATGGTAAAATAGTTAATATTAGTCAAGATGATTTTATGGGAAATAGATCTGGAAAAACAAACTGTGATAATTCTCTTCTAAAATTATAAATTTGGATGAAAGAGTTAACAAGGCAGAAGCCGAGGCTTCTGTAAGGCTTTCACCTGATTCCTGAATGATTCTGCAATTTAAAATTACTTTGTGGGATCCCATAAAGCAATATTGACTCAGTCAAACAAATAGTGAATGGTGAGTTAGCAAAACAGGTTTTCAGAAGGGTCTTTTTGATCCATTGACATTCAATATTTCTCTCAGCACTGAAAAAGTATAAAACAGCTGAGGGCAAAATTTATAGACAAGGCAGAAATTCATAGGGTTGTGAGCAATGGTGGAACATTGTAAGAGGAATTCATTGAACAGTCATAACCTTAGCAAGCTTCCAAACTCAGAAAAAAATTGGGTCATCATCCCAGATACTCTTATCTCCATGGACCAAGTTCCTGTAGTCTTTTTATTTATTTATTTGTTTTGTTTTCCTGACCAGAAAGTCATCAACGGAAAAGTTGTATGAGGGACAAATTCCTTGTAAGATGAGGGCATTAGATTGCACTTTCCATATAAATTTCCATATAAATTTTGTTAACCATATAAAAGCTTTCATGCCAGGACAGGAACGTCTTAAAACAATAAATATCACAGATTAATTCTTCAGTATTTGAAAAAATATATACTTTGGAAGGTATTTTTTGCAAAACGTGAAGCTTCACTTACCTATAGTCGAAATAATCCATGAATTCCTTTCTTCTAGTATAAAAAGATTCACAATTCTTGCTCAGGAACCTTTCTGTAACAGGTGAATTTTGCAACCCTAAAGTAATACAAGGCTTGTTCCAGAGACATATATTAATATATAAAACTATATTAATGTCTGGCTCTGTTCATTTCAATAGCATTCATTTATTTTAATTCATTGGTGCTCAATATATGTGATATTGTGAGGATTGGCATGTGAGGCCAATGAAGCTGAATAGACTGTGGTAATTTTAAAGTACTGACATTTTTTATTACAGCACTGTGGCATTAATTCTTTGGCAAGTATATTTTATATAAAGAAATTCTACATAAATTACATGCAAAATATAGTCTTTTTGCATGTCAATATGCTGCCTATGGCTGTAATTATAGTAATGTGCACACTTCACATTAATAACATGGAGGAAATTTGCAGTACTACGGGATTCTCTTCTATTTGCCAAAATTTCTGTGATTAGTAAAAGGGCAAAAAATACATTTGCTTAGTCCATCAAAACAAGTAATAAGAGTAGTTAAAGAAAAAAAAAAAAGTTATATGGCTGCATTTCTCAGTAAGCTGTGAAGTTCAGCAAGGGGTCTTGCAAAAATGATGTTTGCATTGTCTCTCATTCTGTTGTATAAAAAAATAAAATAAAATAAAAATATATTAAGTGGTTTGCCTGGTTGATAGAACTCATAGGAATGTCCTTGTCATCTCTGAGTGAGTTCTCTAAAGAGTTTTCCTATTCCCACATAATTTATTCACTGATCCTTTGAAAACCAGTAAATTGCAGAGTGCAGTTATTCATGGCATTTGTGAATGGGCAACTTGCTTTTGTTCTCGCAGCAGGTGTGTAGGTGGGAGAAACAACAAGACAAGCTGCGGTAAGTCATATTGGCTCACTTAAAGTGAAAATCAAATAAATAAAAATCCTGTAACCAAAGATGGCTTGCTGCATGTACTAATGTTCTGTGGTATGCTATTGGGAAATTGCCTTTACTCCTACTCACTAAAAGTCATAAAAGATTGCATTTGTATGTGAAGATGGTTTGCTATAGAGTTGTCTGAGATCATGATACCAAACATTAAATAAAATATGAATTCTGAGAAGTTCCTTTTCTTTTTTCTCCCCACTCTTTTCCATTACTCACTTTCCTCCAACACTCAGCAGTTTCTGTCAGCAATCAGTTACTCTTTCAAGTCTCTCCATGGTATATGTTCAAATTGATTTAAAATAGTGGTTTATTTCTGCAGATTCTTGACCTCGTGTCCTTGCTTGAGCGTGCCAAGGTTGTTAACTAAGTGTAGAATAGATTAAAAAACAAAACAAAACAAATAAAATCATTTCATTTACTTATTTAATCAGGAAGTTTACCGTACCTCTGGTTCTGATATATATTTGTTGTCGTGTTAGAATGGCAAGCTATGTGGGTTTGAGTTACCCCAGTTCTGCAGTACCTGAGGGCTTTTTCTTCCATACACACTATCACTCTACAACAAGCAGAGACTTACTGGATTATGTGCATTGTGCAGACCTTCTGCTCACCCTTCCCCCCTTATTAAAAATCACCAAAAGACACGCAATCACTTTTAAGCCACAATGGCAGACTGTTATAACAAATGAAAGAATGATGTTAATGAGAGGTAATTTGTGAGGTTTTGAGCCGTTTTTGAACTGTATCATTGAATCTCTCTATCTCAGCAAACTTAAAATAGGCATCTACATAGCTCTGTTGTTATCAATATCGCATTTTATCAGGTGAATGGTGTCAGCATGGGTGGGTTGTAGGGGAGCAATGCTATTACAGAAAGGTTTCAAAAAAGGAGTTAGCAATTGGTTTTAGAAATTACTTTAAAAGTAGTCCTCCAAGTGTTGTGCTGACAGAAAAATTATTTGATGACAGCTCATGACAGAAACCAGAGGCAATGCCTTGTCAGGGGGTAAAGCAGAGGTGGAAGCTTGAGTCGCCATCAGTAACTTTGTCACCTCTGAGGAACTCATTTGCAAGCCAGAGAAGAAGGTTTGCAACACTTAGCCTTAAAAAGGGAAGTGAATTCTCCTTTGAAATCAGTCATAGTACCCTCTACCAATTTTTATTTGTTGTTTTTTTAATGCATATGATTTGTAATAATGAGCACCTCCTTTTACCATCACTCTGTAATATAAATGTTAATGTGTAAGATACTGTCAGTATTATTATGTAAATCTTCTCTCAGCAGCTTTCAATAGTTATAAATCATCAAATGTGTGATTTTTAAATGATACTTCTCTCAAATTGAAGCAATTCACCCTCTGTTTATACACATTAATTGGATAGAATAAATTCTTTGTTTCAAGTAGTAATTACATACAAACCACCAAATTATATATGGATAAACCTATTCTATGTTTGTTTCAAGATTGAGCAATCCACAGAATTAAATGCTGGAAGCTATTCCCTCATTATCTGAGGAACTATTTTTATTAGTGGAACAAATGTGGATGTAGTTAGCTTTGTTTCACAGAGCAAATTACATAAAGGCTAGAGGAGATGCATCTTATGTGTTTCTGCTTTTCAGTCATTCATATTAAAAAAAAAAAAAAAATTTGGGAAAGTAAAATAAAATGTATTTTGATACTGATGTCTGAGGGTTTATGTACTTGAGTAACTAATAGTGATTCTTAAAATTCTCAGCTTTGATCACAGAAGAGTTTGTGCATAGTTCCATGTACTTGTACTTTGTATTTTTGAGAACATTTGTTTATATTTTGCACTTCACTCAAGCTGCTGTAGTTGGTTTCTTTTATTTTTGTTGGCAGTGTCCGTTGCCAGCTCTCAGCTTTACTAACACAGGACTGTTCCCTTTCAGCTGACCACCTTGGAAGAAGCATTAGCAGCATTTTAAAACTCAGGATTTTGTCAACATGGCTTTAAAGAGAATTACAGCATTTCTATTACTAGTAAGGTAGGCAGCCTTACTGTTTCACAGGACTTGAAGAGACAAATTTGATTCTAATTCTTCATTACCACGCTGAATGTGTGGAAGGTGGGAGAATGATATGACTGCTGTACTTGTTACTATGGAAATCTGTCAGTCATGAGTTTTCACTAACTTCCAGTGCAATGACATTGTAACAGCATGGCGACATATATGTCAACTTTGCAATAGCATCCCTCAGGAAAACCTGAATATGTATTTTTTTCTTTTCACCAGAGTCTGAGCTACCCTTTTTTAATTGGTGCAGTTGTGGTACAGAATGAGTAGGGATGAAAGAGCCTGTTCTTCCCAGTGTTTCCCCCCAGAAAATAGCATTTTCTTAATGGAGGTGCTTGAAAAGATTTCAGTTTCTATTCTGTTCTGGTATTTGCAAAATGACAGAAAGTTTTGATGGAAGAAGAAATTCAGGTGCATTATGAAATTGCTTCAATAATGTGGTAAAATAGAGAACAGCTATGTTGTGCTTGCATGTATTATTCATTGTAGTGAAAGATTCTTCAATTTATTTTATACATCTTGTTTGCTACAATAAAGCAGGGACCGTTTACATAAACTGATAACTACCAAAGTATGAGAAATACATTTAATAATGCGATGCTTAGAACTTGCCAAGAAGAACATGTACTAATTCCTATCCACCTCCATTGTTACCTTAAGAGCAGCTCTCTCCATAGCAACTGAAAACTTTTCAAGGCAGCAATAAACTAATCCTCTCCAGCTTCCAGAGCACCATCAAGAATTTTAAAAACATTGGACTTCCAGCAGCTAAATACTTCTGAGGATTCAAAAGGCCACAAAGCTAGATACACAAGCATTCTTTTTCCCTTCAGAAGGTAAGGAAAAAATGTTTAGAAATCAATGCATCCCCATAACAATGATACATATTCATGCTAACAGTAAAATATAACTAAATCTAAATATATCAAAAGATTTCCTACAATCTAAAACATACTAACCTTTAGTTAGTGAGTTAATGCTGGTTTGAATTCAGCAGTCTTTTTTTTATATATATATATTTTTTTTTTTCTTTTTAAATACTGATTTAGCAGAGTTTCCTCTAAAATAAACCACACATGTATCGTATTGCATTTAAAAGATGATGATTGTGTGTGTGGTTGTTTAACACATGCGCATTATCGTTTGCAAATGTATATTGCTGACAGCATCAAGAGAGTGAAAATGTCCTTTTTGAGAACATAATTGAAACTCTTTTTATTTTTCTTCCACATTAGGATAGATTATTATTAAAGCAAAGATAATGACGTATTAGGAAAGATAGTGTCAAGACAGATTTACAGTAAAAAATGTCTTTTGTATCTAGAGTTTTAAAAAGTTGAACTTGTTGCTTCTGATGTGATTTTCTTGTTTGTTCACTGAATTCTCTGAAAGAAATTACGTCAGTCTTGAAACTTTCCTCTGATCATAAAATAGCACTAATCTTTAAGTACATCCTGCTCATTCTTGTTTTGTGTTGTATAGCTGGAGTTTGGTAACGTTGATAAAGTGTTTTGAAAATAAAACCTGCTCTATATTGCTGCTTTGTAATATAATTACTATGCAGTTGTATCAGAAATAGACTAGTAATCTTTATTTACAGCTATTTTGCTACTAAAAAGCTGTTTCATAATGGAATAAAAGTGAAAGCTACAGTATTTTCCTTTTCTTACTGAAGAGGATTATTAGTGAATGCAATAACATAACACTGAAATGAAAACCATACACTTTACTTTTATGAGGAGGGAAGGGCAGTTTGAGTCAACCTCTTTTTGGTAATTCTACAGAAATTTTAAGGCCATGGTTGTCTTAGTTTCCTGCTGTTCTGGGCTGTAAAGCCCTCACAGGCTCCCTGTTGTTCAAAAACAGCTTGTCACTGCAAATCAGCTTAGCCGACCAATTAATAAATCCTTTCAAACATATTGCATTCACACTAATTAAGGGGTTGTTTTTTTTTTTCCCCTTCACTATTCAGATTCCTCAGGTTTCAAGTTTAAGCTGGAAGTGCAAACAGCAGTCCAACATTCAGTGCATATCACTCACTGCAGGAAGAGGAGATGCATTCTCTGACCAAGCATCCAGCTCTTGGGGTGGTATGTTCTGCTTTCATATTCAGCGTGCTCATTGCTGAAGGACAGCTTGGGAAAGAGCATGGGCAGGATGGCAGCTATGCTCCCAGCCGAGGCTATCTGATGGAAGTTTTACGCGTTCTTTCAGCTGACAACACTGAGCTCCACATGAACCACTCACAACAACTGATCAAAATGTTACTGGAGAGAGCTGAGTGCCCACAGCGGATTTATGGCATGCAAGAGGATTGTAATCTGGTTAGTGCTTCAATTAATGAGGGATATCTTTACAGGATTGTCAGTGAGTTCTAAAATTGTTTATTAGAGTGAAACTCTCCTAAATACAAAACCTAAAGATATAAAAGACTTGTTGTTGCAGCCAAAAATTGATAGTCCCCATTTTAATTGTTTCATTGTATATTATTAATGTTAATTGTTTGATCTTGTAAAGAGGAGATATTCCAGACACAACAAGTATGCCTTAAAAAGCCCATGGTTCAGTCACATAACAGTAATAATTTTCCTTTAAAGTTTTCAACTCTTTATTTTCCAGCAACGTTTTTCTATTTTTAACTCTTATCTAACTATTAAGTCATGAGCTTGAATTTGGGGTACAGATTTCCACTGGGGAAAGACAGGTAAAAACTGGGCTCCAGTCCTGTCACTTTTTGTTGTTGTTGTAGTAGATTTAGTTTATAAAAATAAAACCCAGACAGGATTCTCACAGATTCATCTGCCAATTCACTGAAATGTTGAAAATTCAGGGGAAGTTTTGGTAAGCAGTTCAGGTCAAGGAAAATCAGAGATAGAACAATGAATCTGCAAATCCAAACTGGAAATAGTCCAAGGTACAGTTTCACAGAACGTTTGACTGTCTAGTTGAATTGAGACTATTTTCAGAACTGATTCCTGATTTGACAAGAAAAGGAACAAAAGTAATAAGATCATAGGTTCTGGTAGGAGGGAGACAGTGACAAGTGAGCGACTTAGCTGAAAGTAAGTACAAAGGGCTTGGTCAGTCTTGGCTTTGATTAATGATATTCTAGCTCTGGCTTGGTTCAGTGACCTACATGCAGCTGACTGTCTCTTTACATCAGAATTACAAGGATGCTCATAAAGGTGATTGCTTTGAGAATATACTATTCTTGTCAATCAGACTAGCCAATGAAATTGAGATATTTTTCTCCCGTGCAGAAGAAAACTACTCACTTCATTGTCTCTTCCTTCAAATGTTCTCCTTTTTTATATGATACCCAATGTGAAATTTCATACATAAATAATGTAGGTGTCAGTTATTCCCTGTGGGTATTTGTTATAAAAGAAATGAATTTACATATAGTACTCAGTTACAATAGTCCTCAGTTTACATATAGTACTCAGTTACAATATGGACCCAGATCAAAATCTGAGAAAGTATTAACTGGTAATGGATATAGATGTCTCCTAAACTTCACAAAACAGGGGTCTAGGCTTTCTTGTTCTCCCTCTTTGTCTTGCTTCTTTGGGTTGCCATAGTTTTTCTTCTATTGGTGATCTTTTTTTGTGGAGAGCATAACCACTGTGTCCCTGAATGGAAGAAATTGAAGTGAAACTTTTCTGGGGCTTACTTTAGTTAGGACTTCCATGCTCTTTAGGCTTCTTCTTGAAACATTTGTGTGGGAAAAACATGAAGAATTTCACCATTTCCAGTACTTCTCAGTGTTGGATATACCAGTAATACTGCACACATCCTTCAGTGACACATGAACACAGTTCACAATAGAAAAACCATGAGAGAGACAGACGGAATCTTCAGTCACATGCAACCCACACAGAGCTGTGTTGAAGTCTTCTAATATGTTTTAACAACATTGGGTAAGCTGAGATAGCAAAAGCTGTGTGAGAAGTCCTGTCTTTCAAGATCTCTAAAATTTGAAACAGAATGCCCCACCTTATGTTGGTATTTTCTTTCTCATGCTCATTGGGAATAACTAATTGATTTCACACTATACTTTCCCTTCTAAATCCAGGATCCTTGTCATACCAGATGACTTTGGGTTTAGATTTCTTTCCTTTTTAATGATGTCTCCAATAGATATTTAAAATGAATGAAGTTTAACACTTTTTAGATCCTCTTCTGGTTTGTCATTACATATTGGCTCCCAAGACTCTTTAGATAGGGGCTGACTGCTCTTGATTGAACATGTGACAGTCCTTTATCTCCTAAGCACACAAAGGGCATATATTTCCTGCAATTGTATGGGTGGTGTTTTTTTTGTTGTTGTTTGTTTTGCTTTGCTTTGTTTTGTTTTTAATAAATTCTGGTCTCAAACAAAGAAAGTCAGCTCGTGGTTCCCAGTTTCAAAGATGGGCTTTTTTTTTTTTTTTTTTTTTTTTTTTTTTTTTTTTTTTTTTTTTGTGGCAAATAAGTTTTTCTAAACCAAGACAATGCAGGAGGAGGTTATACCTATAACATATTTCTGACAGTCTGACAGCAAAATTAGAAATGATGAACCAATTTATTTTCTCCCGATATCTCCTTAATAATTACCTTTTATAGGCTGACCATATACTATGGAATAACAGCATCTTTAACAACGCACCTGATTCCTTCTAATAAGCAATTTCCTTTTCAGTTATCTTCCTTGCAAGGGCAAACAAAAACTTCACTTGATTAAAATTTATCCCTACTGGGTTTTGAAATGTTATAGAAACGTTTGAAAATCTTTCCACTACATTCAGGATATTTACTCTACTACTGTTGGGTATTTGAAAAGGTTAGTTAACTAACTTAAGGTCTTTACAGACAGAAAACAGAATAGCTACGTTCTCCTAGCTGAAATACTAATGTTTAGTGATGTACACTAGAAAAAGTTCAGCTTCTAGATCTTGATAAACAATTTAGGCAGGGCACAGTCGATCATATTTTAATCTAGTTTACGTATGAGTATAAATATCTAATTTGGAGATTACAGACACAGTTGTCTTTTTTTAGATTATTTGTGACAATTTTTGCTGGAATTATTTCTATTAAAATGTGGCAGCTCTCTCGATTCCTCCAGGGAACATTGGCTTCTGAATACGACAATGTGTGTTTGATTCTACTCTGCTTCTGTGTAGGAAAATGAACTAATATACAAGGTGAGCCACACTGCTGAACACATCATGCTTGTAGACATAAGCAATTTAGTCTGACAAAATAGGTTCTTTCTAGGACTCATGAATTTATTTGAGTGTAATTATGGTCCTTCTGTGGTACCTTCACATGTTGTAGTGTCTTCTCACAAACGTACAGTCTGTCTGCTCTGCCACAGTGGTTGAGATTAGTTGGCATGGCTATAAAATGGTTGGAAAGAGACAGTTGGGAAAAATAAATAAGTTAGCTACAGAATGAATGACAATAGTTACAGGATCTCTTCAAGAAAGACTCTTTATTCTGGAATTCACTATCTTATTTCCTGTAGCCTGACTTAGAGCATTATTGGTCTTCTGGCCTAGTTTTAAAGGCTAACTTTAGTTTGAGCTAGCAAAAATTTCTGGAAAAATGTTTGTTGCATCAAGAACAATGGAGTTTTACATACATATAGTTATATTTTAAATCTATGACTACTCAGATAGAAAGCCTACACACAGTGAGCGTATCAGTTCAGTCCTTCTTGAAATCCATTTAAAGGACTAAATGATGCTGAGATGACTTTCTGCACTGGACTGAATTGTTCCAGTTATCAGGATTCACTGAGAAAAAATAAAGATATACATATGATCGTAGGGTCAGTTAAGTCTCTTAACAGTGCACTGAATATGATATAACTTCTGTTCACATACCTTGAATTAACGACAGTGCAGATATGGTCTTTTTCTCATAACAGAAACACATACAGCATGCAGAGGTGAAAATATGATTAAACTGTAGACCTTATCTAATATATTTATAACCAGGAGTAAAATCTGTTGAAGACAGTAGAAGACTTTCAGTTCTCCACGGTGAAATTCTGATCAGAATTCTTTCTGTTTTGTAGTAAATCTTAAATCCCTTGGATGCTTAATGTTGCTTAAAAATAGAAGAGGCTCTGGAAAAAGACACAAGGCATGATCTTGCAGCAACAGAACTGCAATGACTTACACATGCCCTCCTACTGTATATCCATCAGCCTGCATCCACATAGTCTTAGGTTTGATCCCTTATATTTAAGAGATTAATTCTCCTATTACCCTCACTAATCAAATTTGCAGATGACTGGCAATGTGTTACTTGAACTGAATTTCCATTTATTTTAATTTTTTTTTTGCAGTGCCTTGAACCAGATGCTGTGTTACTCATAGCTGGTGGAGGTTTAGAAGACCATCTCAGTGAAGAAGTATTTGAGAGAATTTCTCTTATTCTCCTCTACTACATTCTTCATCATAAAGATGGGTGTTCTTCAGAAGTCAGCTTGAGTAATAAGGATTATAAATTTTACCTACAGAGTATGCTCAGTTTAAGGCATGATGAAGACTGCTATTATTTTTCACGGAATGAAACAGAAGATACGTTAGCTGCAGTAAAGCTACATTTTAAAACTCCTGAAACCCAGGTAAAGAAATTTAAAATGACTTCATATTTGCTACTGATAAGCCTGTAAGCTAGTTCAGATATCACGTCTATATGATGGCTCTCCAGACTACTGGTAAATAGCAGCGTGAAATCACAGGCTGAATGTTGGTCTTTTGTTGTACATGTTGCTCAATGCTAGCCTTCTTGACTTGCTTTTGTCATGTGCTACCTAACACTTCCACAGACTTTGCTGAGAAGTGGTTGGGGAAGTAGCATGTTAGGGACTATTTCCAGTAGATAATTTAGAAACAATTGCTTTGCTTAAGGCAGCTATAAAGAGTGTAGGTATGTTACCAATGATTGTACCTAAATGGCATAAACCAGAGCAGTTCTAAAACTGGTCTTGCTGTATAACAAAAATGATAAATCAGTCTGCTGTAATGAGATCCTTGCCAGAACCTTTACTTCCATATCCATCCAAAGTAGGGTGGAATGAGGAATCTGTCCAAAGATCTTATGGCCTCCTTTAGTTGGGACACATATCTAATTATCTGTGAGAATGAGTATGCCTTGCAGAGACTGATACAGATAAACTTAAATGTTAATTTTTATTATTAGTATTTTAAGTAGTCTATTGAGTATATTAACATGAAAACATCCTTTTAAAGTCAGGAAACAGGCACCAAGTTTTCTCAACACTATTTATTATTCCTTATCTCAAGTAGGACCTATAAAATAATAAGATATTATTCATGATTTCACAATCTAAAAAAAAAATAAAATGTTTTCTTTGTAAAGGGCAATAAAATAAGGTTTTGCCTGATTAGATAACTCTTAAAGTACAAGTTGACCTGCTGTGAGAAGCCTGTTAGATCTGCTCATGATATATAGTTAAATTTGGAAATTAAAATTGCAAACTTTGAATTTACCCTCTTTTTTTTTTCATTCAATTGTAATATATATCATACTGTAGTACGAGTTTCTTATGCGAGCGGAAGATGGCGAGGAGTCCTAGCTGTGCAGCAGGATGCTGAGAGCCTCCGGTCCCTTTTTCTGTGTTCTTTGTGTAATTGTTTCCCATCATAAATTATTCATTGACCCGTACTTTTGGTTCTAAGTCTTGGTGAACGTGCTGATTTCCCCCAAAAAATCCAATGGTATCTGGGCAACTGTAAAGAGACATTGGTGGGTATTTGGCATGTCAAGATAGAACAACAATCCATAAAGTGCTTTACTGTGTAGTCTGTTTGTTTGTGCTGGCAGTATATTCAATTATTAAAGTCTCTTCACTATGTGAGACTTATCCACTCACTGGCATGGGAGGGGGAGGGGGAGGGAGGGACAGGAGAAGAGCTTGTTTGTTTGTTTTTATGTTTTAATGAAAGGTACTCAAAACATTATAGGCTATCTAATGCTTAGAATCACAACACTTGTGTAATGGGAAAGGGCCAATGATGTAAGACAGTGATAGAAGAAAGGCATTTTTAATGCCTCTTTATATGTTTTTGTCTTCACAGAAAATATCTTCAGTCATAACAGCTAATATGTTATTTATCATAGAGTCATGGAATGGTTTGGGTTGGAAGGAGAGATAAACCCTTAAAGATAACCCAGTTCCAACCCCTGCCATGGGCAGGGACACCTCCCACCAGACCAGGCTGCTCAAAGCCACATCTCACCTGGCCTTGAACACCTCCAGGGATGGGGCATCCACAGCTTCTCTGGGCAGCCTGTGCCAGTGCCTCACCACCCCCTGAGTGAAGATTTTCTTCTTTATATCTAATCTAAATCTCCCCTCTTTTAGTTTAAAACTACTACTCCTTGTCCTATCCCTACACTCCCTGACAAAGAGTCCCTCCCCAGCTTATAAGGTTTATAATTATATAAGTTATAGGGCCGCTATAAGTTATTAGGGCTGCTATAAGTTATAAGGCAGCTATAAGGTTTCCCCAGAGCCTTTTCTTCTCCAGGCTGAAAAAACCCCGCTCCCTCATCCTCTGTTCATAGGAGCTTGAGCCCTTTGATCATCCTCATTGCTCTCCTATGGACTCACTCTAATAGCTCCATGTCCTTATGCTGGGGACCCCAGGGCTGAATGCAGCACTCCAGGTGGGGTCTCACAAGAGCAGAGCAGAGGGGCAAAATCTCCTCCCTCGCCCAAAAGTGGCCATGCTGCTTTTGATGCAGCCCAGGATACGGTTGGCTTTCTGGGCTGTAAGCGCATGTTGCCAGCTCATGTTGAGACTCTCATCAACCAACACCCCCACGTCCTTCTCCTCAGGCCTGCTCTCAATCCATTCTCTATCCAGCCTGTGTTTTTGATTGGGATTGCCCTGGCCCAGGTGCAGGACCTTGCACTTGGCCTTGTTGAACCTCATGAGGTTTGCACAGGCCCACCTCTCAAGCTTGCCAAGGTGAAAATTTCAAATGAGAGATGAAATTTCAGGTTCTGGAAATTAAAATGCACCAGATGGAAGGACAGGAAAAAATGCCAGCCTCCTCCCCACAGTGTTTAAAGCATATATATAGACAGATGTAAAATATATGTAAAATAAATGAACACTGTATTGGCTCATCTAGCTGACTTTTCAAATTAATTTATATGGAAAAAGATAAATCAACTTTTATAATTTTCACTCAATTTTTGTTGTTGTTTCTCTCAAACCCAAAGCATTTGCAGTGAAAATAAACAAGAAAGGCAGAAATAGAGGAAAACAGGGATACATTTCCAGGTAAATAAGAGAGCTGTAGCCTGCTCCCTCACTTCAGACCTGCACACATCCATATACGTAGGTGTTGTATATGACTGTCTATTGCATCTCTTTGATCACACAGGAGGGAAATCACCTTTTATCTGTAGAATAATGGCTTTCCGTATTGTCCTAGATAAGTGCCCTATAACAAATTATTGATTTCATTTAATAAATAGGGAATGAAAATCACTAAGAAAATTCTTTCTGAAGTCTGAAATAGACTTGGAAATTACATTTTTTGAGTAGATGCCTTGTACCTCAACAAAAAATTCACCCTTTCCTGCCAATTTCTGGAGTTAGTTGTGGAAGCAATTGATGATGACATAGGAATAGCGAAAACAACATGAAAATACTGCTAAAGGAAAACATTTTTCAAGCCTTTTTTATTTTATCCCCATTCTCCTGAAACTGTTCTCTGTTCCTTATTTGCTGTCCTGCTGTCAACTGCAGCTTTAATCCTAGTATTTTATTATTTTTTTTTTTACCCTGGTTGCTTGTGAAAATGTTCTCTCCAGTTTCTTCTCCTGTCACTCATTATTTAAATGGAGGTGACCAGGGTTGTCTTTATGCTGTTTTGTCCTGATTTCAGTGTGTTGATGTGAGTACTCTGGAGAAAAATGCTGATATAATGGACAGAGATGGCGCTGATGAAAACACTCTTCCACGCCTGGCTGCTTTAATCATTACTCTGGCTCTCCAAGGAGTCTGTATGGGGAAAGCAAGTTTGCCCTCTCCAGAATTCTTTATGAAATACATTTTCAATTCTTTAAACAGTACCACTGAGCTTCAAGTGACAGGTAAGCTATTTATTCATCTTTAGGTGCCTTTCACAACACACATTTTATGTAAACTATGTTTAAATGCCTAAAGGACTTTCTGCACTTCATTTTAGCCTTTTCATCAAATGCCATTTCATTTTATAGCTGTTAAGTAGACCCTTCTAAATTTAGAAAATAAACTCTTTGATAATTCTCAGGGAGATATAAAATATTGTTACTGTGGTTATTAAGTAAGTACTGTCATCAGAATTTATGAGTTAGTTTCTCAGTGTAGTCTGAGCTCCAAGGGTGGCAGTCTAGCTGTGAGGGCAGAGTTTGCTGAGGCTTCATTTACATTGCTTCTTTATGCAGTTCATTATGCTACTGTAACTATATCACAAGATTAATCTTGGGGTAGAGGGGATAATTCATGTATGGTAGCCAGGTTAGGCACTTTAGTCCCTCACACTTCACTGCAGACATACCCCCAGAAGAGAAGTAGATGCAGTCCACTCTTATTTGAGCAAATATATATCTGCCTGATATATATATATCTCTGATATCCACCCACTGTAACTTAAAACGTTTTTATGGTTTGTGTTTCCCTACCTGGAAACACAAGGACCCATTTTCTTCAGGAGTTCTATTGCTAGACATATTAGAAATGCTACTTGACCATAAATAAATAGATGCATTTGAGATTTCTAAGTGGTCCAATAAAATAAAATAAAATAAAATAAAATAAAATAAAATAATGGAAGCATCAAGCTCTCAGTAGCGGCTACGAAGTCCTGTAAAAGATTCTGGATGCTTAGCAGTTTAAGAAGCTAAACCATCAACTTGGGCCTACTATGGGTTTAGAAGGCTATTATAAGATACCTACTTTGTGGTAATTACTAAAAGCAACACTTACAAGATATTCAAAGCACTTTTTAAAAGTTACATTAAATAAGTGTTAAAACAGCTTAAAAAGTTTAATTAAGCATAGGTAAACATGTTTTACCACTCTTAGAGTGCAAAGAACTTTATTGAATCACATAAGTAAATCATAAAGCAAAGAACAGTCCTAAACCTAGATTGCATTTGCATAAACTAGTTTTGCAGCAAAACCATTCCTTTAAAATTGCCAGTGTAGATCTTATAAAATAGTTGACTCACAAGAATGGATGGAGCCAGCTGGGTAGAGTGCTTCTAAATAGCTATATATGGTAAAATCCAGTCCCCAGTGAAGACAATAGAAAGACTTCCCTTATGGTTAGTAGAGTTAGAATGCCATTCAGAGAAACTGAAAAATACTCTTAACTGGTTTGTTACAGTGTAAGTATATTTTAAGCTTAAGCTAATTAAATTGTTCCTTTAAATTTATTTAAATTCATAATGGAAACTGGAGGAAAAAGCAAGAAATGGGCAGTGTGGGAAAAAAAAAATTAGAGTTGACTACATTTAGAAAACAAATGCAGCTTGAGCTGTGTTCAGATCTGTTTGTTTAAGACAAAGAAAGTAGACAGATAACTGAGCACAAGCCTTTTTATAAGATTTACTATTAAGATTATATCATTTGCTCTTTCTGAATAATAACATTAAAAATAGAGGATTATCACATGGAAACATTTTTAATCTGATTGATCTAAATTCCTTTGAAATTTTGTGGACTGCTTATGTTCTTAATGAACAAACTTGGATTTACAGAAAAAATCATAATGACTTCATACTGAAAATGAAGGGGGGAAGGAAAGTAACCAGACTGAAAATAATGGAAGGGAAAAATAAGTAATGATGGACCATGCTCCTCATAAAACTAAGCATTTAATTAGCAGACACATCCATTGCACTCAGTTATGTCTTTGGTAGAGGAATATGAACTGCTTTTCAGTCACATCTCTTTTCCTCTGAGATAGCCATAGGCAAAATATTATCAGTGTGGTACTGTAAAGGTGGAAATGCTGAATATGTAGTGGCTTGAACATCTAGAGGTGTTAAACTGAAATTATATGCAGTACCAAACTGAGGAGAGAAAAATATTAGAATGAGGAATCAAATTAATATTAAGGTTTATATAATTATATAATTAAGGTTTATAACCTTAATATATAAAGTTTTGTCTGTTTAAATGTGTATTTTCCCATAATAACATTTCTTTTTATTTATTTATTTATTTTATAAATAACCAGATCTAGAACAACTCCTGAATGTGCTTACAGCCAGAAAGACCTGCACTGTAAATGGACAATTCCACAGTCACAAAAGACGACGTTATAGTATGACAGGTAGAGATATTGGAACAAGAAATATTTCAGTCAAAGCAAATTATACAAAAGAAGACTACCTGAAAGGTTATTTTGAAGATCACGAAAGTAACACAGATTGGGATCAGGTTATTTTATTTTTATGTTTTTATAATGTTAGTGACATAATGTCAGTGATAAAAATTCAAGTTTTTTTTTTTTTTAGTTATGAATTTCAGAAAGTCACATAGATACCAAATTATATTTTTAATTATTTATATATTTTTTAAATATTAGTAGGCAGAACTTTATGACTGCTGAGTATATGATGAACATATGTTGTAAACTGTTGGGAAGGGCTAAGAGAATGATCAGTATTAGATAGAATCAACTGCTCCTTCAAGACAGAGGACTTCAATGTTTTCACATATTTTTTTCAGTCTTATGTCTCAGAGTTTATAGGGCCCCTTTGTAGAAAGAAAACTGGTTATGTACAAAGTAAAATATATCACAGAATCACAGAATCATCTAGGTTAGAAGAGACCTCCAAGATCACCGAGTCCAACCTCTGACCTAACACTAACAAGTCCTCCACTAAACCATATCACTAAGCTCTACATCTAAACGTCTTTTAAAGACTTCCAGGGATGGTGACTCCACCACTTCCCTGGGCAACCTGTTCCAATGTCTAATAACCCTTTCGGTAAAGAAGTTCTTCCTAAACTTCCCCTGGTTCTATATGACTTCTTTTTTTAAAAAAGGTCTTTGTAAACTGAAGTATATTTCCAAACACTTTTGTTATCCACCTATGGTGTCCAGAAGCTCCCTTTAGAAAATGTGTGAAGTCTGTAAGACAGAACTTTAGCTGCCAGCCAGTACCCTATTTGAGGAGTTTGAAGGACAGTGGTTCATCAGATGACATCATCCTTATCCTAAAAATTAAATAATAAATGATTTTTGTTTATAACAGTGATTCAGATAGTAATTTACTTCCATCCTTTAAACTGAAAGACTTTCCTTGGACAGAAACAGGAGACTTCAAAGTATATATACTCTGTATATATTTTGAAGTATACATTTGAAATATATGTTTCAAATAATATGCTTCCATTGTTTTTCACTCTTTATACTTTAGCTTAACTCAAAGGCAATTTTTCTTCTCCCTGGAGATGTGCAGTTGTCTTTTGCTGAACGGTCATTTTGTGATGTGGAACTGAGACAAATGGCATCTGGTTAAATACCACTCTGATAGATGTTTATCTGCATAATTTTATTGTATTTGGGAGTAAATATCCTTTCAAGCATTTAACGGGGTCTCAAAATAACTTTAAATGAAGGCCACTTTAAATCTATTTCCTATTAATTTTAAATTATAAAGCTCAGATATCAATAATAATATTTGTACAAGAAGCAAAGTCATTCCCTAGTAATAGAAGAATTTATAAAACACAAGTTTTGATTTCTTGAACTTCTGAGAAAATACGACTATAGAAAGATAGTTGTGCAAGGAAGTTATCTGAGGCTTCGGAGTCAAATTCGAGAGCCAAATACTCTGTACAGATGCTGAGAAATCACAAAGGAACATCTGGACAGAAAATACTTTTTTCTTTATTGATTCCTAGCTTTTATTTTTTATTCCATTCCTCTTCCTTTTAGATATATCTATTTTCTTTGACATATCATTCTATCAGGGAGCTTTTTGTCTCAGTGTTGTTGCTAATTTTGTCTCTTGTTTTCTGCACATATCTGTGATAGTCATTGTGCTCCATGATTAACAGATGCTGCTACATATGAGGCATTGACTGGTTTACAGCTTCTGTTTGCTAACTAGATTAAGATCTGTAATTTGATTTTTAGATAGGAATTATATTTTGAAACATCATTCCAAAAATATAAAGGTCACTGCTTTCTTTTTTAAACCATCATTGTCTCTACAGATTTTAAAAATACATTTAAAACAAATAAGTAGTAGAAGATCAAATAACAGCAATAATATTAAGTTCCGTTAAACTATATCACAATAGCTGTGGATTCATTTATGATTCCTCATTAAAGAAACATTTTGGGGTGGAAACAAATCCATCCATCCATGTAGCCAGCCAGCTTTTCATATGACTGCAAATTCTGTTTTCATGTTTATTCACTATCACTCTCCTTATGCTTTGCTCCCTATGTTATAAAATTTAAAAAGCTGGCAACTGGAAAAGCTGCAGGTCCTTATGCCCCAAGACTCACAAGAACACTTTACTAAATGAGTATTAAGGATTATTTATGTGTGTGCATGTGTGTATTTTCCAGATGAGATTTTTTTTTTTCATTTAATATTTGTCATCATAAAATCACATGAAAGTTTATGATAATATAGGTTCCTCTAACCTTCTCAAAACAGGGTCAACATCAAAGTCAAATCAGGTTTCACAGGGCCATGTCCAGTTGAATTCAGAATGTCTCTAAGGATGGTTTCTGGGAAACTTGCACAAGTGATTTATTGCCTTTGTTTTTTTTTTTTTTAATTAAATATAATGGGAATTTCACATGCTGCATCTAATACCTATTTCCTCTCACCCTTTTGCTGTACACCTCTGAGAAGGCTGTCTCTCCATCTACTGTATAACCCCCATTAAGTAGGTGAAGATCTCCTGCATGACGTCTCTTCTGCAAAGAGAAAAAACCCACCGTCCTCAGCCTCTCCTTGCTGCTGCTCCCTGGCTGTCCTGGTGGCCTTCCCCTGTTCGCCAGTATCTTTCTCCTTCTGCTGGTTATTAGACTGGGAATAGTCCATATGTGAGCTCACATGTGCTACATAGAAGGCAGTAATCATTCTCCACTACCTGTTGGCTATGCTCTTGCTAATGCAGCCCAGTATGCAGTTATCCTTCATTGCCACAAGGGCCCACTGGTGACTCATTCAAATTGCCGGTTGGGACCCCAGGGACTTTTTTTTTTTTTTTTTTTGGTGCCATAAGGTTGTCCTTGCTAATCTTCATGAAGGGCTCGTCAGCCTTTGGTGTGTCAAGATACTTGTGAATGGCAGCCATACCTGTCACCATATTGGCTACTTCTCTCAACAGGGTTTCATGAGTGTGTATGATGCACTCTGTTCCACCACTCAGGTCACTGATGAAGGCATTAAATTATACCACTATTAACCTTTGAGGAATACTGTTCATAATCACCTACTCTTCCAAGTGTTGATACCACTCATTGGTGTTGCACACTTTTAGTCAAAAAATGTTTAGAACAGACAAACTGACCTATACTTCTAATTCAGTAGTTCCTGAATTCTCTAATTCTCTTCCTGCTGTCCTTGTTCTTGAAGGCAGGACAGAATAAATCCAGGCAGCAAGATCACCTATTGCCCTGAAGGGGTATTCAGATTAAATGTACCAGTACTCAATTCATTCAACTTAGTGAGCAACCAGCCATATTTTAATTTACAAAGATGAACAAAGGCAGGAAGACTTTGCTCTTTAAATAGGTTGTTTAAAAGTAAGGATAATAATAATTATTATTATTATTTAAATAATATTTTTCCTTAAAAACAAATAAAAAAAAACCACCAACCAATCAACCAAAAAATATCTAAGCATTTTACAAGATCCAGTGACTAAAAAAAGTAATATTTAGGAATTGTTTGATTCTCAGTTGCAGACTATTTTAAGTGAAAGAAACAAAAGAGATGGCATTAAGAAATGAAGACTTTTCCTATAAGTGAGATAACATATTTGATATGGACTTCTTTCTAAAAGTTCTTAAAGAATTTTTCACTGGAACTATTTTAATGTTAACTGTTCATGTTTTAACCAGGAGTTTCAACCTGTAGATGAAAAAACAATTATTCATGAAAATATTTCAAAATAAATCTTCACAAGAAACCTTTCAGTTTTGACAGAGACTTTATAAAAAGAACAAAAAGTAGATAAAGTTCTTGTGTGCCTCTAATAATAAAATTAAGTAGTCTTTAAACCGAATCTAGAGTTTGTAGCATCTAGTGTACTGACCCTGAAGTGATATGCCATTGTTAAAACAATTTGAAAAACATCTTAGTCCCATACCTTACTAAAAATACAAGCATGTAGCTTGGACAAAATTCAGTACTGCCTTGATACAGAGCAAGACATTCATTTTTACACTAATAGCAAAGAACATGATTTGTGTTAGCATTAAAATATTTTTGTTAGCATGTACGATAATAAAACATTTAGAGATACTATTGTGTCAGATCCTTGGGTGCTATTAATAGGCTTCAGTAGAAATTGTGCTTCATACCAAAGATTCTGAAATATCTATATATCTATCTGAAATATAAAATAGTATCAAGTTTAAATTGGGAAAAAGAAGAATTAGAAGCAATTGAAGTTATTGAAATAATTTAACGTGAAGAGTGTATATGGAAAACAAATTTTTCTAGGTTGTATAACCCTCTGTCCTTCAACAATTGCATATTTCACCTCAGCATTAAATGCAAATGCATGTGACATATTCAGTAATTTTGTATACTTTTCTATATAGGTTTGTTTCTCTGCCAATGAACTTGTGAAGATATTTTTAAAAAATAGTTCATCGTCCATTTCTAAGGAGCACTTCAAGCAAATCAGTCCAGCTATCATTCAGCAACTATTAAGTTGTTCATGTCAGCTTTCTGAATCCAAGCAGTCAAAGCTTCCACCAACAACTTTGGAAAGTGAGTTACATTGTTGTTATCATCATATATAGTGTTTGAACTCCGGTGAAAGGGTGCAGGGGCTTAACTTTTGGAGACATTTCAGTCATTATTAACCTTAAACCAAAACAGGATGAGGTTCAATGTAATTTCTCACTCTGATTTCATAGCATACATGTCAGATAATAACACTATATTGAGAAGTGAAGGAATCCAAATGTTTCAATTTTATATTAGACAGAATTCTTTTTTATTGTGTGATGGGTTTGGTGGTGATTTTTTTTCCTTTTTTTTTTTTTTTTTTTTTTTTTTCCCATTTCATAGAGGACTGCAGATGAGCCACAGGAGGCCCTCATCAATGGGTTGCTGGGCAGTGATTTTGCACAATTTCCACCAAGTTTATACTGGAATCATTACACTAATGATGTGGTTAGAAACATAGGTATGCTGGTGCAATGGCAGGGAACATTAATTTCTGGAAGGGGATTTGGGAGCCAGGGATGAGCAACAGGGTTGAGTACCTAACAATAATCAGCTGTACTGAGAGCATCTCTTTTGATGCTCCTAGAAAAGTTTTGTGGGCTACAAATCAGTGCCTTCATTACCTTTGCCTTATTACCTACATTGCTAACTCTAGATGACTAGATCCATTAGGAAGTAGTAAACTTTCCTCATATCCTAGCTGGCCAATGATCCTTAGTTAGTTTATGGGAATGAGCTGAGCTATCATTCTGTGGCGTGCAAATTAATTGAATTTATGAGCATGAATTAAAATAGATTAGATAAGGACATGGAAGACATTCATGTATATCCCAAGAACAGTTATAGGAGTAAGAAACATGCAAAATAGGGTGAATCATTAAATCTCCCCATAAGGTGACTGTCCTTTCTTGTTATATCTCTTCTCATTACCTGAACACCTTGCAATCTTAACTGCTTTTATATGCCTGTTTTTCAGATGGGGAATCAAGGGACAAAGTAAAGAACTTATCCAGGTCATATACAAGGTTCATAGCAGATTCACAGTTAGAAGTGAGAGTCTCCCAACTCTAAGACTATCAGCCCAATCATCAATATTTTAGTAATCTCATAAAGGTGAGAGATCTGTGTAGATGAGAAAAACGGAACTATTCAAATACATAGTGGAAGGAGTAAGAGCTCTTTCTACAGCCTTTTTCCCTTGCTGTTTGGTTAAGGAAGGTTTCCATGACCACAGAGATTTTCTGGCTTGAGACAGACAAAGGGCTTCGTGTTTGACCTACATGTGACCTAATAACCTGAGCATAGTCTCATTAATTTTATTCTCAGTTCTATTTTACTGACATGCTGTGCTGTTTTGGATAAGTCACCAAGGCTTGACCTTTCATGAGTATCTACTATAACCTTGTATTTGGATGTGCAGTCTGTGAAATTTACTGTCTGATTTTATGAGGTGCTGAGCACTTGCAGTGCTATTAAAGTGTGAAACATTAAGTGACGCTTTGGAATATTTTGGCATTAGTTCCTTAATGTCTGTTTTTCATCAGTTTTACCTCCATCATAAGACTCCCATACAGATTAATCAGGATTCATATTGTGCAAAAGGCTGAAAATGTGAGCAGCATATAACTTTCAAGAATTTTAAGAGAAACCTTTCAAAAATCCCAGTAAACTGGGAAAAATAGGTTGCTGGTCCTGATGTGATAGCTAAAGGGGTATATTCTCACAACACACTAGTAAACAATGTTCTGACCAGACATTTTATGCTTAGATCCTAAACAAAATGCCTACATTCATTTGAGGTTTTAGGTCTCAGTCTGTTTACTGAATATAGTTTGGTTAATAATGTGGTGTTGACTGTAAAAATACACAGGTGATGACATAAGATAGCAAGCACAAATCTGTTGAGACGGGGAACAAATGCAGACCAGCATTCACTGTGCTGCTTTAAGTGTCTCTAATCTGTACAGTCACAGTCTACTTAAGGCCTGAAATTTGAAGATATTGGAATGTATTACCTGTAAAGTCTGAAAAAAGAATAATTTTTTTAGGCTTCCAACTCTGTTATTTGAATCACACATGACTAGCAAAATGGATGTAGCACAGTGATTTACTTCTCTGTGTGCTTGTAGACAGAGGTGGTAAAAGCAGCCTCAAAAGCAAAAACAAATACAAAACAAAGATTCAAATACAAACACAAATACAGATACTGAATGGTTAAAGGTGCCCTTGGTTTATTTTGTTTCCTTTTTCCCTACAGAATATGGTTACAGCACTGTTGCAGTTTTACTTATTACTATTGGATCTATGTTTGGTACAACCCTCATTTTATTTAACTCCTGTCAAGAAATCTATACACTCATTTTACAGCTGTTTGTTGGTTTGGCTGTTGGGACTCTTTCTGGAGATGCATTGCTACACCTTATTCCTCAGGTAGGTAATTCACTCTTTTATGTTTTTGAGATCTTCACACAAGCACTTACACACACACAGTCACACACATGCACACACATTCACACATGGAGGAAAGTTTCATTTAAACTTGGCTAATGATAATCTGTTTAAAAATAACGCTTTCCATGAAATCTGTGAATCAACTATCAACACTCAAATTACATCTGCAATTTGTAGTTCAGAGAGAAATTCCAAGTAATCAGAAGCAGAATTCAATAAATGATTAATACAGAGAAAATAAGGTATCTATTTTCACAAAAACAAATAAACAAACAAACAAACAAACAAACACCTTTTCAAATAACCCAGAAGCTGTGTGAAAGTCAGGTTCTCTAAAAATGCTTTCCTGAGGAAGATTCTTTAATGCATGTTGGGAAAATTGTTCAAATGTTCTACAAAGCATCAACAGTTCCCTCAAATACTTCCAGAGGTCCAGGGGCTCTCAGCCAAGTTAATACTGCTTGCCTTAAACTATAATAACATGAATGGTGCATTTTTTTTCCTAAATTCATAGAATAAATTCTAAGAATAGGATAGCATGAAAAAAAGAACCATATTTTCCATTGTGTACTCATTTATTTTTGACTGAGTCTCCTCTGATATGACACAACTATTACAAGGAGACTTCCACTGGTCATGTAAAGAGATCTTCACACCTTCACTCGAGATTCTGGTCAAAATGTTCTTTGTACTCTATACATGATCTCTGGAAGATGGACTGAGAGAGTGGTTTGAGGAAGGCAATTCTCAGTAAACATCAGACAAATAACTTCCTTTAATAAACACCTTTTAAGTTTGAAAGCAGTCTTCACCACTTTTAAGTGATATATCCAGTAGCTTTTAAAGTTGCTCCTTCCAGAAAGGATGCAAAGAAAGGCTACTATGCCCTTCTGCTGGGGAAAAAATTGAAGCATGCTCATCTTCTGCTGGGGAAAAAATGGAAGCATGCTCCCCTTCTGCTGGGGAAAAAATGGAAGCATGCTCATCAGCAGAAAGCCTTAAAGATTATTTTCAGAATGACTTCTGAAGATGAAGTAACTTTTTAGATTGTAAAGATCAAGTAACAGCCAAGTAACTTTTTAAATTGTAAAGATCAATATACTCCAAAAATATATACTCAAAAATGTATAAACGACAATTTCATAAAACTGTTTCTGAAAATAATACAGCTTTCAACACTGAAAGATGATGAAGTGTAGTAGAAACTCATGATAATTCATTTAATCCATCTATTATTCAGCTGATTAGCTCAAAACAATTTAAAGAGGTGGCAAATTTGGGGAAGAAATGAATTAATACACGATGCATTATTCTAGGAAAAGCACTTTGATTTTAAATGTTTTGCTTTATTTGTTTTTTTAGACTCTTGGTTTGCATAAACATGAAGTACAAGAGGTAGAACATTTCTATGAGGGGAAAGAATATATATGGAAACTTTTGGGAATAATTGGAGGAATTCATGGATTTTTTCTGATAGAAAAGTGTTTCTTTCTTTTGGTAACACCACATGACCAGGTACAATTTTGTACATTTTATCCTTTTACAAATCAATTCTATTTAGAGATTTTACAGTTTGAAAAGTGTTAAGATGAGTGTGGAAAACAGTTATCACTTGTATGAGTGAAATGAAGCTTTCTAAACTATTCCTACCTGACTGACCTTCAATTTCTATTTTGCTTTGCTCCATAGATTTTTTATGCTCCATGAATATGCTCCATATATTTGTAACTCAAAAAAGAAACCATTAATTGAATGTGTTCTGTAAGCATACTTTATGGCTAGCAGTGGAACAGGGGAAGAGTCTTTGTCCATATGAAATGGATCATAGTCATTTACTCTAGTCTAGGTTTGAAGAGGAGAAAGACATAGATGTAAGCACGAGATGTTTTAAAGATATCTTAATTTTTCCAAATGGTTTTTGACCCCTATCCCAATGTTTTTGAAAATCCAATATAAATGTTGTGGTCAGTAGAACCCAATCTTATATTAATAACACCTCCCTGCTCAGTTCCATGCTTATAGTAATTCTCTTATTTTATTTCAGTGTGGCTGATGTCTGAAAATATAACTATGCACAAGGATATAATGTAACACAGTGTGATGGCTCGTTAAGTTTCTCAGCATGGGAGATTATGTTAATGTCTCTTAAGAAGGCTAAGCCTCTGCTTGTTTTGTTTTACAGAGAGTGTTTAATGACTGGCCCGATTTATATATTTAGTACTGAGTCCCTGGTCCCCCTGTCTTCGAGTTTTCCATAAGAATAATATGAAAAATTAATAGAATGAGAATGTTTTGATAGTATTGACATTCAGCTTGGTAAAAAAAAAAAATAGTTATTATGTTACATACTTGGAGAGAATTATGTATCATCATCCCACAATTTTTTTAAACATGTTTAAAACATATTTAAATGTGTAACATATTTAAAATGTGTAAACATTTAAACAATTTTAATCTTCAGCTTTAAAATGAAATAAATTTCAACAAACAATTATGGTCATTTATGATCTCTTTGATTCGACTTTTTTTTTTTTAAACCAAATAAAGATTAGGAGATGCAGATGCCAACCAACAATCTTTTTTTTAATAGTTGTTTTGAAAAAAAATAATTCTTATAAATGCCAAACTTTCACAAAAGTCTGAGAAAGACTGCACCTGTGTTCATTGGGTTTCAGAACTAATTGCAAAGCATCTTCATTCAGCAGGGCCTTTCTTTAGTTAATGGGCACTGGGAACATTCCCATGATCTTCCAGTGGAATCTGAATTAAATGAACATTCAGTCAGAGGCAAATCTACTTCAACCATACAGTTGGTAGGTTACCAATGTGAAATACTTCCCTATTTTTATATCCTTCTTTCTCTGCTCCTCAACAAAATGAACCAAATAAATATAATAATCAATATTATTTTTCAGTCTTTATTGATTTGTCTTTTATTATATGACATGATTGAAAGGAATCTGTAGATTTTGAAGCTTAAAATAAGCTTTTACATAGACTTTTCAAACACAAATTTTTCCAATGACTTCTCTTAAGTGTTTCAGATTAATATAACAATACACTTCCCGTACTACCTTTTGTAGAGAATTTGTACCAAATTCTTGAAAATTTCACTCCTCTCTTCTTTTCAAAAACATCCTATATATAAGGGCAGACTCTCCCATGGGAAAAACTTTAGGATTTTCTGCAGTGAGAGCTAAGTTTACAATTACTGAACAGAGGAAATCTTGGAATGTTCTTGAATATTTTTTCCACAAATTTGAAGAGTAATACAAACAAGCTGGATATCTGGGAAGAGTGCTTGCCTATAAGAAATTACGTAATTTCCTCTCCATCTGTGGAGAGTGTATGGACAGATGTATCTTTGCAAAGTAAAGTGACTCATACCTTTTAACCTGTTTTCTCTTTTTCCAACCAACCTCTTCAGTTTATATGTAATACTTTGATGCATAGGTTTCTGCTTATTTAAGTCAAAGATCATCTATAGCACGAACTCCATTTTAACAAAGCACTTGTGATGGGTAAGAGTCTCATATCTCTGAAGCATGGTTGGGAAATTGTCAAGTGAATGCAGAGCAAACAGCCTAGAGAAGAATGTTTACTAATTTGTGAGCCCTGTCATAGCTTCCTGTTTATGGTAATGAACAATCTAGTCATTCCTTTCAGCTGCAAGATCACCCTAAAGTTATGTATATCACATGAACTAGCCTGACTTAGCTAGTTTGTGCAAGAGCAGCCAATTTTTCAGAACCATGTGAGTAACAGTAAGAAAAACACTGATCAACTAAGAAAAGCTTATAAATCCTTCAGGTCAGTGATTAGTCTTGCAGTTTTGACTCAGAGTTCAAAGAAGTGGCATGTGAATAAATATTATAGGAGAAGTGAAACAGTTACTGGAATTCATATGACTGGCTGCAATCATGGGAATTAAAGACTTTTATTTTTCCTTTAAAATCTAGAATTTAAAAAACAAATCCTTTCTTTTCCCTCCTCATGCCTCTACAGCACAAATCCCACTTCTCAACCAAGCTAGTACCAGCCAAGAAATATGTTCTGTTTTGCAGCCAGTACGCTATAGTTTTTGGAGTGCTGCTTGCTGACCCTAACAAAGCACTCTTCTGTGCTGTCATCTGTTGTTGACTCTTCACTAGCTGCCAGCAGCTTTTTTTTTTTTTTTTTTTTTTTTTTTTTTTTGGGGGGGGGTGAGGGGAAGAGAGAAGATAGTGATTAGAACTAAGCCCCAGGAAGCTAAGGGGTCAGAGAGAGAGATTCCTCACCTTCTTTCTTCTCTTTCAACAGTCTCTCAGTCTCTGTTAATTAAACATTAGGGCTGATGCATCAGTTTAACTATCTGGGGTAGGGACAAAACTACTGTCTCTTTCCTCACATGAAATAAGGCTAATTTTCATTCCTCATAGTGGACTGTACTCATAAGCTATTATGCTTGGCCAGGGATGCCTGGTGCCAAGACAAAGACAAACTGAAAGGCCAAGAGGCAGGGCACTGGAGGTTGTGCCACTCTGAAGGAAAAAAAAAAAATACCCCCCCCCCCCCCCTTTTTTTTTCCTATTTTCTGAAAGTGTTTCAAGAGTTCTGTTTGACAGAAGAGTTTTCAGTCTCAATGTAAACAAAACACATCCTGATGGACTACAGTTTAATAATTGCATATGCTGTGTTTTCTGCTTTTAAAATAAAAGCCTTACAAACAACAGGAAGAGCAGGGAAGGAGGACTCAGCTACAGTGCTTGCAGCTATTATGAAACCTACCTATGATCATCTTTTTTAGTCTTGTGTTTTCACAGAGCAAATGTGAAGAGCATGGAATACCAAGGATATTCTGATATATACACATTTTTCCTTGGAAATCCCATAGACACACTGTCCACCAGGAAACTACAATCATCCTGTTACGACAAAATTGAAAGATAAAGTTTGAATTAAGATGTTCTTTTTAGTTCTGCATTTGGCTTGGATTTTTGTGTATTAAAACAGAAACATGATTTTTGGGGGTTACAACAGTGCTTATGAATGTCTTTCTTCTTACCTTAATTAGACTGTAATCTTTTCTGATCAAGGGAGGTTTCTTTTTTATGTCTTTGCAGTATCACATTGCCAGCACTCAATAAATAACCCTAATGATATCTATGCAAAAAGTAGCAGCTATCTTTATAAATATAAATGCATGAATTTATTTGATATTTTCCTATATTTGTAGCATCAGCTGGAAGAGCCCCGTAACACTGTTCATCTTTTCCTTTTTATTAGAGAAGCCCAGAAGATTCTGAGGCTACTGAAGTTCCTCCTGACAGTAAGGTGATCAGCACAAAAAGTTAGTATCAAGACAAAGGCTAGGCAAGCAATAAGAGAAGTCTTAAGACCTAAGATGGAATTGAAAGTGTGAAGTTGGCTTAGCTCAGTGTTTGCTATGTGCTACATCACCACATCTGATGGTGCTTGGCGACATAAATCTCTGCTTAAAGACCTTTACAGCTGCCAACTCTGTAATTGTGAAGTTCATTAATCTTACAATGTCCATGCTTTAGTGTTTGTTTACTCACCGTTCCAAACTACTTTTTCTAAATCCTTTGCTTAAAAAGAAACATTCAAAATTTAATATAAGCCAAATATTTAAAATTGAAAACTTTGATGGGGTCTGTACTTTTAAAGGTAGTGTAGTTATTTTGTTTTGTTTTTCTTTTTCTTCCTTTTTTTTGTTTTTCTTTTTCTTCTTTTCTTTTCTGCTCATTATACTAATGTAATTCTGTTTCCTTCTTTTCTTACATGGTAAAGCAATAGCCCCTTTAAACTAGAAGCGGTTTATTACAAATATAGAATTCTGCACTCAGAATGGCTCCCTGGCTCTGTTTTAGGATAACCTGTGTTCTTCAGAGAGCTTCAAAGTAATTCTTATATTCTCTGTTTTGGTGATATTGATAAGTATTTGCTTTAACCTCTTATTCAAAACTTAAAAAGCATTGGTGGGAGTCCTGCACCTATTAGCTTTATGAAAATTATGGAAGAGAATTTGCTATGAGTATCAACCCTCTTATTAAAGCAGAGAAAATAAAGTTAGGATTGTTTAAGAAGAGGCTTTGTAGAAATAGTTATGGTAGTAACTTGATAGTTAATAGTTAGACATGCAGCAACATAATTCAGTGAGATAATTGCTAGTAGCAAAGTTGCTTTAAAATAGGCTGAAAGTAAATGAAGAAAAGCATTCAGATTTGTTTATATACGAATCTTAACTTTCAGTCAAGTAAGTTCACGATGCTTACATTTGTAATTGCTCTATCACGTTAACCTGACCCCTCTGTTATATTATAGACAACGCTCTGGAAAGAGTTCCAGTAATTATACTATGTCTTTTTCAACAATCACCTACTTGAGTAAAAGAGACTAATAATATCTCAGGGCAGATCCTGATTTCGTCTTCACCAGTGCTTATTACAAGACATAAACTTAATGTAGTGCAGCAATCTATTACTTCTCTGTAACTCATGTTCTGCACTATTGATTATAAATTGCCTATAGTGTTTAGAAAGAACTGTGCAAACTGGGGACATCCATGTCTGGCTCTGTAAGCTGGCAGGAAAATTTAACAAGCCTGCCAATTTTTCTGAACCCACAGAGCTCCCAGGCAACTGGGCAGGATTTGCTGAATACAGTTGTTAGACTTTTATGTGCAGTGTGTTGGTTTTTCTTTTTTCTTTTTATTTTCTTTTTATTATTTTTTTATAATAGCCTGAAAGCTTCAGTTCTAGCCAGTCTGTGTAAGAAAAACATCTCCCCCATCACCATAAAATTGTCATATCTGGAAAAACACTGCTGAAGTAAAACCTTGTAATAACAACACAGATGGTTCTGCATACATCCTTAGACTGTCATATTATGTCTGTGTGGGACCAGGAAAAAACGTGATGCTTAAGATCCAAATTGTGACCCTGCTTTTTCAGTCATAAAAGTAACCCTCTGCAAAGTGTGCTGTCTATTCTGCATAGAGGTAAGGTGGATGAGTTTCCTGGGAGGCATTAGAAAGCCCTGCTTTTAGGATTGTGGATAAAATAGCGTAGCCTATGAAACATGTTGCAAAGCCTAGACATTGAGCCTAAATATTGAGCTTCATTGCTACTTGAAGAGATAAAATCCCTCCCCATGAATCCGCTCAGCATGCTACCCAACTGTCTGGATTACAGGCTAGACAGAGAGACTGTCCAATTCCCTAGCTTGATTTTAGTACTTGTATCACCAGTAGCGCCTTTCCTCTCAAGAAGTCTGGTTTGATGTTGTGAGCATCAAATGTGCTGTTCCACACTAAGCTCACAGAACAGTATGGGAAGGAAAAACAGCCATCTGTGTCCAAGAGTGATGCTGTAGACAGGAATACTATGAGCCTAACTGCTATTAATTGATTGGAACAAAAGTTAGAAATGAGCATGCTGTGATACTGAGCTAACAGTGACACTCTGGGGCTTATTGCTTTTCATCTCTATTTTTCCACTTAATACAATCTCATAAAAAACAGACCCTGAAAAACTCAGTATTGAAATGCTTTACAGTATCAAAACAGTCAGCTGCATGAGACTTCATCTTCATTGCAGTTGTGCAATTCTGAGAGTGATGGTGGAAAAGCTCCCAATTTTAAGGAAAAAAAAGTAATGTAGAATGCAGGAAAACTTGTGTGAATTTCACCAACCAAAAAAAGAGTATGGAAACTCTTAGGGTTTATCATAAAATTGGACTCAAACTGAACTCTAGCTTTTAGTCCAAAGAGTTGACCTAAAAATAAAAATAAATAAATAAATAAATAAAGATTAAAAAAAAATCTTCCTGGTATTTTAATTTCTGAATTGTTTTACAATCTCCCTTTTCATTTCAAGTGTATTGAAGGAAGTATAATTTCAAGGACATAACAGATAAGCAGAATTGTCTTCTAACTGTTGTGACTTTTCATGATGTTATATGTGAATTAATAAATAAATAAATAAATTTTAACCTAGCAAAAATTGCAATACTTTTTTATGTTTAAACTTCCGGGCTTTTTTTGTTGTTTGATTCTTTTTCCTTTTTCCTAGGTAAGAAAATTAGCTTGTTAGCAATAATGGTTCTGGTAGGTGACAGTCTTCACAATTTTGCTGATGGCTTGGTAATAGGAGCAGCTTTCTCATCCTCAACAGAAACAGGTGTGACAACGACTATTGCTATATTATGCCATGAAATTCCTCATGAAATGGGTAAGAAATATGTATGTGTATTTTTCCTATTTCCTGATTGGCTTTGTAGTTACAACTTTTCCACAGAATTCTTTCCTGTATGGTGTCAGTAGAAATTGCTTATAGCATCATGAACTTTAATGGGTGAGGTGGAATGTATCAGATGGGTATATGAAGAGGTTATGCACTTCTCTTTCCCCTTCACAAAAAGAAGAGGAGACTTCTGCCATAATTCTTGGCTACCATCTCATCTCACCTTCTTCGGATGTAAATGGTGTCAGACCAGACTGACCTTCTCATGTCCATAGAAGCAAAAAGATAGTAAGTTGTGAGAAAGAGCCATGTGTGCAAAAATGGGCATTCCTGACACAATGGGCTATCTGAGTTTTCATATGCAGCAGAGCTATTTAACAATGCAACCTTTGTGCTACCCTCATTCCTGCCACTAATCAAGAATAACAAGATAACAAAAGAAGATGTATGACCTATTTTACTAGCAGACAGGACAGTAAGATAGTTCTGTTGAAAAAATTCCCCAATTATCACCTTACTGTAAATCTTTCAACATGGCTGAAGTTGTTCCTGATATTGTGCTGATGAACATATATATAATGGCAAGACTGAGTTTTAGGTTCTCCTTCCTTCCTTCCCCTCTCTCTCTCCTTTCCTCCCTCTCTTCCTCCCTCCTTTCATCCCTCCCTCCTTCCTTCCAGAGATTTTTGTTGTCTCTGTAGAAAACTTCCCCACACAAAAAGGTGGGATGGGGAAATCTTTTAAAATTGGTAACTCTTCCTTAAATTTCAAAGAAAATGTAAAAGTACTGAATACCTAACTCCAAAGCCAGACTTTAATTCTGGTGCAATGGTACCACAGTGTCTAAGTCATATTTCCACATGGATAGAGAAAAAAAAATTATTGCTGTGGACCTCTGATAAGATCATTTAGTTTACAAGGAAAAATATGGAATAGGATTCTGATATATAGTTTAAAAAATCTAAAAACAGTGCAATCAGTCAGTGAACTCAATCTGGAATCAGGCAGACAGTTTTTTTCTGACTTGCAGCACCTGTAAAACACTCAAAGACCTTGTAAATATACTCACATGATTTTAACTGGCAAGTTCCCAATCAAAAAAAAAGATTTAGAAACTCTGGGAAAGCATGTGACTTCACTTTTGCATGTATCTAAGTTGGAAATATCACAGAACATCAAGAACTAACAGAAGCCACTCTTGTATACTGTATGCTATCTTTAGGAACAGCTAAACAAATACTTTTTTTTTTTTTTTTTTAGATACAGGTTGAGTTCATAACCAATTCTATAGAAATCTAAGGGCAATCCTCCATCCTTCACTGTCTTCTTTGTACATATCTTAATTATTTTACTTCATGTTTTATTACAAAGAATCCTACAAATACATTTATGAGCTAAATAATAATTTTTCTGTCTTCTTTTTTCTCTATGCAGGAGATTTTGCTGTGCTACTAAGTACTGGGCTCCCCACAAAGATTGCAATTTTGATGAATTTTATAAGTGCACTAACAGCATTCTTAGGGCTCTATATTGGCCTTTCTGTTTCAACTGACCCATGCATTCAAAACTGGATTTTTACAGTTACCGCTGGAATGTTCTTGTATTTATCTTTAGCAGAAATGGTGAGAAATTCTGTCTATTGTTACACTTTCCATTTAACATATCCACATTACAGATGAGTGTCAGATGAACTGAGAGGGAAAAAATATTCACATAGGCTTCTTGGGAAGAACACATCTGCCATGTATGTGTACAGTGCTTAGATCAATGGTCTGGTTTTATTTGGTGTCACTGCCATTACAGGTGTGATTAGTAATAAAAAGGTGAAATAAAAGCTATAAAAAGAGTAACATATGAGAAAGGAACAGAGGACTTTTAAAAGAGGATTTATATATTGATATAAATCAATATATATTTAGGTCTGGAAGAATTGCTTAAAGGTAAATTAAAATAACGTTTAAAAAATTGAAAAATTGAACCTGTACTTTTTTTTTTGCCTTTTTTCATTTGTTTTTGTTTTTAAATCTTATATAACTATAAGATTCAACTTATATATAACTTATATATCTATAACTTTGTTATATTTGGTCACATTTTTCTTGGTACTTTTTTTTTTCCCTCTGTATATTCTTCACCCATTATTTCAACATGAATTTCTAGTTTCTGAACTAAAATACAAGATGCTTAACCTGTGCTCTCTGTGGCCTGCCATTCTATATCAGAGAGGTTTGGATGAGTTCCTAAGCAATTAAAAACCTGTTATATTGTCTATTTTTTTCATATTTTCCATCATTTTTTATAATGCCAGTTCAATAACAATGATCTAACTATAGAAAATAAAATCTGAAGACAAAAAAAAAAATTGGGAGAGAGAATTGGGAGAGGTCTAAGGGCTGTAGAAGAACATAGTGGAGTCACTCATGCCTCAGGACACATCATTTATTGAAGAGATGCCTAAATGTTACACTCGTAACAACACAAATATTAATTACCTTGCTAGATTATTATAATTGTAAGTGTCACAGGGCTCTTTAAATAATGTTTGTTAAGATAAATTTGTTTTCAAGCTTCTGAACAAAGACTGAGTATATTGAGTCATTAGGTCCAGAGGTTGAAAAAAAAAAAAAAAAAGAGGTTTCTCTCCTCATAAACTGTTACCATGCCTTTCCCAAGTCTGGCTGTCTCTGTTTTGTTTACTACCACCCCTCACCTCATGCCTATGATATCATTTCCCAGGTTCAGAAATTATACTTGAAATCTCGTATGCCATGTCAGTATTATAACCCATTAAAAAATCTACTTGTAATCATTGGCCTTAGACCTTGGGTGTTTTATAGTCCGTTTTTTTCCTCCTGTAACATAAGTAACGTGAATATAAAATGCACCTAAGAGCTTATGAAGGAACTGACTGAGGATTGTGGATGTGTCAACTGTCCTGACTGAGGTTGTGAATAGCAGACAAGAACATTGTGTACCAAGATACCATTATGTATCTTCTGACACAGAGAAATTTGGAGGTGAGGTTGCCTTCCTATTGAATAATAGGCATGGATTTATTAACATGGTTAAGGACTTAGTCATATCTTTCCTTCAAAGAAGGATCAGGAGGATAAAGTTCCCAGAACAACACCACATTTTTTTCCCAAGTCTTCAAAACAATGTGCCAGCTGTAAAGCCCAAGAAAATACACAAATTTATGCAGAAAGAGAGTGCACATTTTTTTCTTGTTCTCGGGTCAACACTGTAACCTTGTTCTTGATGTGAGGAGAAGGAGAAGGAGAGAAAGAGAAAGATCTTGCTTCTCTCACCTCCCTGCTACGAACAGTAGGGTTTCCAATCAGCTTTTGAAAAGTTCTTTTCACTTTGTGAAAAGAACTGCTATTGGGTTGTTCATCTCTTTGCCAGAAGTGCAAGTACTAAGTATCACAGATATTTTATTTCAAAAAATTCCTCTGTCATGGCAGGAATCTATAGATCTGAAAAAAATCATGTGTTTGTATAGTACATCTCAAAAGATAATCAGCCATTCTTTATATATTTTTCAATTTTCTGCATGCAAATTACTTTCACTTTCTGTTGCATTTTCATCTACAAACAGCAATCATCAGTGTTCCTTCCAAAGGTGTACAAATACCTAAGGGTGTGCAAAGCATAACAATAATTTTCAGAATCTGTTTTATGGACTTTCACATACTTCCGTGTTAGTTAAATAAGACTGAACAGTTTTACTGATCTCTGCATTGTGGAACATTGAGGCATATGAGATGGAGGTTCAGTCACAAGACAGCACTGTGAGATTGCTGCACAATCAAGATTGCACAATAGTACTTTTGTGCTTAACTAAATAATTTTCATTCCTAAAAATGGCATTCTAGTTCCATTAATAAGCAGCATAGACTAATCATTTTAAAAATCTGAGGGGAAGGACAATGGATGAAATGATTTATAGCCTTCATCATTTTTCCCCGAGGAATTTTGCAAAATTTTTCATCTTCCTAGCAATTAGGGAAGGTAGAATGGAGGAACGTTTTGATTTGCAAATGTGTATGCACAGGTGAAATATTACAATGTGAACTGATTGTTGGCTTCAAGATATGCATGTAAGTAAAAGCCCGTAATAATCTTGTCTTTAGATTCTGTTTAACCAAAATTAAATCCCCTGAAAAGCAGCTTTTTTTATGAAAAGTATAATGAGATTTTTGTGTTTGCCCTCTGTTTAGAGGTCATAACTATAATCATATCATTGCACTATTTCCAAAGATGCTTTCATCAAAAGCATATCTTTTCCTTAACATTCATTTAATCTGAAATAAAACTTGAGACACCTATACATGTAACGGAACAGACCAACTCACTCCTAATGAATTGTTCCTTTGATAAAACATGTCCTCTTTTCCTCTTGAGAAACAAACCTGCAAATTCTTAATCAGTCTTTAAAATGAGTATCTATGAAGTAATCATTATGGATAAATATTTATGAAATCACTTGCATTGTATTAAACCCTAAGGGCTAGGAGATCTTTTCTGAGTGATTGTTCAAATCCTATAGGATTATATAGTTACTGACCAAAAAGACTTACTGTCTAATTTGAAAGGTGGAAGATAGAAGCAGGAAAGAGAATAAAGGTATCAAAGTAGTGTGAGCTAGCCAACCACTCCATGAGGTACCTAACTGAAGTATTCTCTGACTACCCTTAAACTTATCTTTTGGATTTTGGCGACAAAGGAGTATTTTCAAAGAGGCTTATTGTGCTGTTGTGGCACAGCAGCACAGCTGTACCATATGTGTCCCAGTTTGGTAGAACTCATGTTTAACCAGCCCACGACTTAGAGCCCTCATTCCTTCATTCAGAATGGTGCTTGCTGATTCTTTCTGTACTCATGGATAAAAATATAAGCTGAAGTAGGAATAGAGTAGTCCTTCAGTTAACAGTGACTCTTTGGCCTCGAACAGATTTCAAGCTTTAGCAAGTGTGATGGCATCCAACAGCTTGGTTATGGTGCTATTAAATTCTGGTGTTGTGCATCTGCCAATTGAATAGTCTTATGCTTCCCAACTGGAAGCATTTCCCTGCTGTGCCACACACAGTCTGTGCATGCAAGTTCACAAAGAGTAGGGGAACCGTCACTGATACCGTGGCAGCAGTTGGCTTTTATTTTCAAAGAGATAAAGAGGGATGCCACACTAGGTTAAGGCTATAAAAATTATCTGTGCATTTGGTAACAAACACATAGGTTAGGTGGGGGGAGTAGAGATCTGCACTGGACACAGGAATGGTACAGCCTGTGGAGAATTACTTTTTAAAACTTTCTTAGCAACCTATTTTACCCTGTGTATACCATAACTCAGCAGTGACACCAATAACAGAAAATAGTGACTTTTGCAATGGAAGGGGGAAAAGTTTCCTCTTGTACACGGTCAGAGAACTTGTTCATCCATGTACTGGGGAAGAAAATAAAATAGACTGATTATAAAGATAAATTAGAAAGAACAAAGGTCTGGACTGAAAGCCTGGATTCAGGCCTAAGCTGTAATTAACCATTTTTATTTATATACAAAACAAAAACCACATGCTCTGAACACTTACAAGATGACAGTTCAGATTTTGATTTACATCAGAATTCTGAGGTGTTTACATTTGCTCTAGGTTAAATGCTTCTGAAGCCCCTTAAATATAAATTAAATATAACTACATGAGTTTTTAAGATGCACATTTGTAACATAATTTAAACTGCTGCCCAGTAGTTGCAAAGATTTAGGGCTTCTGCGTTTGCCTGTTATTTTTATGCAAAATGTTAAAGTGTGGGCAGACTTTTCACTCCAATGCCTTCATCTGGGCCCACTCCTCTTTCCAGAGAAAGAGGAGTGCCAAAGAAGCAGACCCAGAGACCCCACTCTGAAATAGGTGTAAATGTGCCCCATCAGCCTCCTTGCTCAGCACCACTCCACTGTCTCCCAGTGGCTGATGCTGTTACAGCGTGTGTGAGGAGACTCTAAAAGAGCAAAGGAAATAAGTGGCTTCATTCCAGCACAGGCTGTGAGTGAAGCAGGAAGGCAAGGCAATGGGAGAGTGCCAGGACAACTCACTCATTTTTTTGCATATTTTGTTTTGAAGTTCTCAAAAAAATAGACAAAAACAAACAAACAGCAACAGCAAAATAAAAATTAAAAAGTGCAGTGCCAGGCTGTTACTCTATCTTTATTTCCAAAATGGATGTGAAAATAGCAGCAGTTGTTAGTGTCTCCCCTGGTGTCCACAATACACAAAGCATGAATACTAAGAGAGTCTGAGCCCGAGGCATTATTTTCACAGGCTCTATTGAGACATACTTTTTGTTTAAAACTTTGATAAAAGATCATGTATGGTGGAAGGTCAACATGTAAGTAGCTTCTAATATGATTATAAACAGATGCTGCTCTTTTACTTGATTTAAAACTTTCATAGAAAAATATTAAAGGTATTTTCTTTCCAGCATATTAAAAAAAAAATAAAAAATCTGTTTTCTACTTATGTACTTACCAAAGCCCAAGTAAATAGGAGTGCTGCCAGTTATTTCAGCAAGAGCAGGATTGACCCTATATATAGTACAGAAACAAAATAACTCAAACTCGTTTATTCCCACAAAAGGGAATCACTAATTTTACTAAATAAGAATTTCCTTACAGACAGCTGTATAAAATTACTAAAAACTATTGAGAAGTTAAGAAATTTTGTAATCTCATTTATATTTCTTTTTGGTATTAGTAAAGGAACCAAAATGGGTAGAATTTTATTAAATTAAATATTTCACTGTCAAGATCTGTGTCATTACAATGTACAGAACATGCAACAGATTAATAGCTATATTCAGAAGCGCACTATTTTGAAACTCTTTTTTTTTAATGAAGTTTGTCTTGTTTTCCCATAAGACTTTTTTCCCAGAGATGAATATATCTGGCTCTCATTCTGGTGTCTTATTCTTTTTTTAGCTTCCTGAAATGACTCATATTCAGACACGGCGACCCTGGTTGATGTTTCTCCTACAGAACCTTGGATTACTATTAGGCTGGCTCTGCCTCTTACTTTTGGCTGTATATGAACAGAAAATTAAAATATGAGTTTTCCATCGGAAATCTTGAAGTACCACTTACGACAGTGGATAGCATTATTCACAGTTTTGTCATGTCTCTTATAGTGATATATAAATTAAGTTGTTGGGATTTTTATATCTGAGCAGTAGATAACTATTTTACTTTATTAACTTATTGTTCAGATATTTTTTTTTTTTTTTTTTTTTTTTTTTTTGTAGACATGAATGTTTAGAATTATGTTTTATTTGTTACTGAGTTTACCAGATCTCACTCACAGGAGCTTTTGATTAGTTTTTATTAAGACTGTTCTAGCTGAATGCTCTAAGTGATCTCTGCCAGTCTGATTGAAGAAAGAATAAAACACTTTTATATGCAATAATTAAAGTGGACTAACCATATTTGAATAATTTGAAACAGAAAAGTTTGTTGCCTCATAGTATAAGGAATAAATGTATTTACATAAAGCTAAAAAGCATAACAAAACTAAACTGTTAAATGCATACAGCAATCTCTGTATAGTATCTTCATTATTTATTTTGCCATCATAATGATCCTTGGTAGTCATATCTCACTGGTCCACTGTAGTAGGTAAAAAATTATGAGTGTAAGTGCTTTTCTGATTGTCTCATAGTTTGTCATAGACGTGATGGAATTGTGACACTCAAGCACTGGACCATAATAACTGTCATAGTAACCACCTTCTGCATTATCCTACTCCTGACAGATGTTTGAGGAAGATTTTAAGAAAAGTTGAAAGGATTTCTTCACGAATATCCCTTCCAGCCTTCTCAAATCAAGGGATTCCATGAGCCAGATGTTGCTTTTGAGCCATCATGTTTAATAAACTCCAATAGTGCCTTCCAGCCAGCAATTAGCTTATTCATACAAATGCGATGTGCATTGTGGAAAGAGCTTTTTCAATTGTCTAAAGTGTATATAGTTGTGCTCTCTTAGGGTCTGATTCCTCCTAACTGAGTGATTTTTGTGTAATTAGTCCTCTTGATTTTATGGGAATTCTACGTAAGTTACAGATGACTCATTTAATTTTGTGTTACAGAATCAAGCCTGAAACAAATATATAGATTCTGTCCTGATTCTGAGGTGCTGAGCAGCTTCCAGGAGGAACTGAGCAGCACTCAGCTCTGTGATTTCTATTATTAAGATGCCATTTTTTGGCATAAGGAATCCTCCCCTACCTAATTTATGCTTTTATAGGAAAGTTGAGGTGCATTCTTTCTCCCTTCCTTCATGTGTGTTAATAAGGAGAGCAAGTTACAGAAGAAACCTATATTCTTTATTCAAACGGGTGCATACTTTTCTTCCTTGTCTTAATTAACCCTGAAAAACAGCTACATTGTGATACTTGTTGACTCTCAAAATGTTTTTTGCATGTATTTTTGGCAGCTTCTATTGAATATTCTCATATTACAGAGATCATACTCTATACTAGAGCGTTGTCAGTTCTTAAAGGCTTCATGGGCACCACACTACCTTAACATCAAAATTTAAAATAAGTGTGATTTTTATCATTTAGAACAGCCTAGGTTTGTGGGCTTGTGGACTTCTGGTCCTTCACAGGCCACCCTTAGGAAAAACACAAAAATCATTTTAAAGGTAGCTGTGCACTCATTTTCAGTGCCTGTAAATTATGGGAATCTCTATCAAATACCCTAATACACATCTAAGTGTACATATACATACCTTCAAAAACCTTGTCACAAACAATTTATCCAAGGTCACACAGGAAGTTTCTATCTGGCTAGGGAAATGAACCAAGCTGTTTAAATTCCCAAAGTAAAATACAAACCTGTTTTATGTAGGTGTGCAAATATTATGACTGCTTTTTTCTGTGAGTTTAACTTTGAAAGCTGCCTAGTCAGCTAAGGAGTCCTAGCTAATGCTTCTCTTTTCAAAGGTTTCATTTTTCAGGAGTTTGTGCTTGTTTGTAGGAAGGTAAGATTTTTTTTTTTAATGTTTTTCCAGTATTTCATCTGTTTGTATTGGCATGAATTCAATGACCTTCAGCTGCAGCAGTCAATTCAAGCAATAGAAGGACACCACTGGACGTAAGCAAAATCTATTCTTGTATCAGATGGTGCAAATGAATATTGGAAACTTGTTATTTCAAAGAGCAGAACTACTGTGCTTTGTTTATATATGCTTAATGCTCACTAGAACAGGAAACAAGATTACCAACATGATCATGTTTTGGCAATATTCTGAAATATTTTTTTATCATCAATGTGTCAGAGAGAGGGCAAGTAATTTCTGGCAGTGTGTTCTTTACAGTTGCATACAAGCATAGGTTCACGTCCTGAGGAGATCTGTGAGCATACCGCATTTACATCAATCCATTCAGAAAACACTATCTTTTGTGTATGTGTATATATATATATCAGATTTTTTTATCACACTTAACAAGCAAGTATATTCATACAGCTTCCACCTCATACACAAATGCATCAATCAGAATGCCAGTTACTCTATTTCTGTTGCAGAGTTGTCATGTTTCCGTGGTGTTTATCAGTACGTGAGCAATTTGGTCACCATTTTGACTTGGTACCAAGTCTGAATACCCAGTCTCATTAGCCCATAGATGTTTGAATTCTTACGATACCTATGAAAGAACTTTTGCTTCTGTTCAAAGTTGGTTACTCTGCTTTTATTCTCCTGGCATTAGTATGTTTAAAATTGGATACTGAAGATGGAGCATTACGAGACATAAAGAAAAACTAGATTGTATTTCAGGAACAATGCATTTTACAGAGTATTGGAAACTATTTTATAGGTCACTGAATTTGAAAACTAGATCAGTGTAAATCTGAAGGATTCATCTTTTTGTCAATGGTCTCTGGAAAGCCCAAGAAAAAAGAGAGAATATGGTTTTGTGTCCTCGCAAGAGGAAAGGTGGTACAAAAGTATTCCTACGATGCATTCTCTTTTTGTTTGTTTTAAATGCTGTAGAGTTTATTCATACAGATTTCAAACAAGACTCTATTTAAAGCCAAATATTTCTTTCTGTTCCTCCAAACCTAACAGACAAAGAGCATAATATGCCAATGTTTTCATTGAGTCAAATCCTGAGTAAGGGCTGCAGAACTTCATCACTTGCAGCCTCTAAATCATGGCTGGGTATCTCTCTAAGAGGTATGCAATTACTCAAACAGATGTTATGTGCTTGATGGAGAGATTACTTGGTGAGGTTTTACAGCCTGTCAGGCAGTTCTGACTAGATAATCATAATGTTCCTTTGAAACCCTAAAATACATGAATCTATAGATACAGGAATTTTTTCTGCAAGAAGAGGGTTAGTATTTCTCTCTTTCATCTATTCTTAGTTTTCAGACACTCTCATGATGAAAAAAAAAAAAAAATAAAAAAAAAAAAATTGCTTTCCTACATACACAGAAAATGAGATAAGAAGAAAAGTTGAAAGAATTTGTTTGCTACAGTATCTTTTCCTGGAAGTAAAGTGGTAGAAGGCCTCGTAAAAAATGCTTCCAACTCCAAATTATAAGGGATCCTAAGCATAAGAGAGTTGACTTTGTACCTCTCTCTCTTTTTTTTTTTTTTTTTTTTTTTTGTATATGTTACACATTACCCAGTGACTCTTAAGATAAATAGTACCTTCTTTGCAGCCAGCTATCCCAATGCCCTTAGAAAGTTTCTGGAGCTCATCTGCATGTTTTAAATACTGCCATCTATTCCACTGTTGTATTTTATGCTTTAAACAGGAAGGTGGCATTTCTCCAGAGACAAAAAAATGCCGTTTTTAATGTAGGAGAACATGGTTGCTTTTGATATAGTAACTCACCCTTAGCAAATGCATTTGGATTGCTTTTCTTTTACCTTGCCATTGCATGGGAGAAAATGTATTATCATTGTAACAATGTTTGGCCTGCATCTGGAAACTGACAACAGATTTACTTCAAAGTGAGGATTAGGGATGATAATTTTATAATAAGGGATTACTTTGTCAATGTTATTAGCTTCTCTTGCTTTACTGTAACCTGTTGTCCAGTCTTATCTTAAAAATAAGCTGCCTTCTATTGTGATTGCAACCTTAGGAATGTGAATGCAGAAAATACAAGCAGTAGTTACACAACGGCTTTAATCAAAACAAAAACTCCTGTAATTTATTTTACTAGGGCTACCTTCATTCCCTTCTCCCCAGAGGAGCAAAAGATCCACACGCAGCGCTGCTGCTGCGGGTCACACAGGGGAATGTAAGAAGTGCCTTCTTCCTTTTATGTCTCTGATAACGGGCCGGAGCACAACAGGAGACGCCGTAGAGCAGCCCCATCGTATTGAAGTCACTGCCAAGCTCCCATCGCTGGCAGCGCACAACAACATCCTGGAGCTAGTGGGGGTGAGGGAATCGCAGAGGGCTGGCGCTGCTTCCTCTGCAGAGATGACAGGAGACAGAGCAGGCAGGGTGGCTCCGCAGCTCTCCCTGAGAGGCCTTCCTGCAGCTCCCCCGTACTGCAGCGGGCATTTTGACAGCTTAGGAGAAAGGATCAAAGGTTTTATAGCCGTCTCTGTGGCGTCCTGAAGGGGCTCACTTCAGGGCAAATTCTCAGACGGTACGTGTAGTCTTGGCTTTGGATGCCAAGGATATCGTGAAAGCGATCTGGCTGATAACCCTGTGAGTGCAGGCTCAGGCTGTGCACTCCACAGCACTCCAGTGATCCAGTGCTGTAGACATGTCTGTATGTGACATCATTTTCATCCCACTGAAGCTGGCTTGGGAACCCTTCCTCATCCTTTTCCCTGGGGTCAGCAGAGACTATCCTGGCCTATCCCATAACAGAGAGGAGGTGGGTGTAAGTGACTAGAGTAGGCAATTTTTGTGACACATCTCAGTGTTAATTTAAGACCACAGTGATTTCTGCTCTCTTTTCATGGCCTCTACACTGAAGTGGAATTATCAGGACAATGTCTGCACTGGTCTGTTGGGTAGGTGCACAGGTTTCCCTCACCAAGGTAGGTGGTGGGCAAGTAGAACCCATGTCCCAGGCCAGACAACTGTTTCAGAGTATCCCAGGTGTCTCTGTCATTGCTTACCAGGCACAACATCCACCAGCACACCACCTCTCACAAAAACTCTTTTTGGCTTCTCTGACAAGGACTTTCTAGAATTTGCCATATCACCTTGTCTCTGGTATACAAATATCACAATCCATAAAATAGTCCTATATATGTGCTCTTACCTGTCATTCTCTTTCAACATCCATACTGATGGTTTTGGAGCTATGTGTTGCACATACTTGTGACTTCTGAAGTTCAGAAAGAGCAATACAACACTGGAAATTTCAGTGAGAACTATACAGAAGTAGAGATTATTATCTACACCACGGTACCAGCAATTTGATTCTTCTTATTCGAGAGACACTGCTATGAGTACTATATATAAGGACAAGTCCTTTTTTTGTTTCTATGCTGAAGTGTGTTGGTTTAGCCTTGGTGGTCTTGGGTGGTTTTATCAGTAGCAACTATACTGTGTCCTAATTTCAGGACTTCAAAGTCATTTTCATATTTCTGTGCAAATGTTTAGTTTTAGCTCTGGAGCAAGAGCACACCTACTTTCTGGATGCTATCCTAATCCAAAAGGGTATGGGCATTGCATTTGCAAAGTTTGCACACAGAAGTCACCCATATGCATGATACACCAGTTCAAAAGCAAGTAGCAGTAATCATCAGCAAGTTCAGAAGGGCATAACTGGACAGTATACATCTGTTTGGTATGTCCAGGACAGCATAGCAGCATAGATAGAAAATGACACAGCTGAGCTAAAGGAAGAATGCAATTCATTCTGCAAATACTATACACGTGAGGAGTCCAACAAGTATTAGAAACATTCTG